AGGAATCGAAAACATCAGCGCGAAAAACTCTTGAAGCCTTTTGGATCAATGCCAAAAATTCAAAAATGAACCGCAAGGAGGAGTGTCTTGTCATCACGCGTGACCTAGCGCCATACCTCAGGCTGATCCAATGATCTGACATGGACCCAATTATCGACCATGTATTACTCTGTGCGGCGGCTATCCACCAACTAACTTAAATACTTACAACAAATAAACGGTAGGTGTTTGAATGAAGCTGTTTCTTATGCGAATGAAAATCGATTTATCAAGTTTTATCTGCTAGGGTTATGAAAGTGTTTGGCTGAGTAGATCGCATCTCAATTTGACCTTTCCAGGCTCTGAAGAAGGCGAAACCGCCGAAACGTCAGCAATTGTGTTCTAATAAATTCTATATTAACCTCGTGTCTGCTTATTGATGAAAAACATTGAATTATCAATTAATGCCGAGGTTAACAGAAAGTCGGTCATGGGAAAAAGTGAACAGTTTAACAATGTCAAAGGAAACGAGAAAAAAATAACGAGGAGTTCGAGAAGCAAAAAAAAAAAGGGAAAAACGCTCTGGACACTATTGGGCGACTTTACATGAACGCTAGAGGCTATTTTTATCGAATTCACATACGTCTGTTACTTGAAGGAACACAGAACTGAACGCAAGTGTTTTCGTGCAGACATGGATTGCGCACCTTCTTCTTCGGCCATTTTTCTGGATGGATGATCTGAAAAGCGCATGGAAAACCATACAGTATACCAGTTCAGGCGCGAACTAGAGAGTAAAAACGGTAGCAGCTCACCTGAATACCTTTCGGATGACTTAAACCGCTGATTAAAACGGTTCCTTTGTCGGAGACGTCGAGCTTCGGTATTCGTTCAATGGTTCCTTTCGAAAAATCCGAAAGATATACAAAATCGCCGAGCACATCCAATCCGTACAATCCACGACTCGTCTTTCGAACTAACACTCGCCGATTGCTTCCGTCGTAATTGCAGACTCCTTAAAAACCATACATAACAACGAATCTCATGAATAGAAATAATCGTTATATCCCCGTCTATTACAGCTTGTGAGCTAAATCTGTTGTACATTATGAGAGATTACAGTTGACAGAACAACTCTGACGTTCAACTTTTTATCTACTGCCTATTATTTTTTTCATAGCACGGTGTTGTGTAAAGTACAATCACAATGATGCTAAAATATTCGAAAAACTCAGAACTCAGGCCATCTTAGACCACGCAATTACCCTTTACAGGACTCAAGTGTTACCCAAAGTGTTACCTACTGCACCAACGGGGAGCGTGTTGCGCAGTGGTTGGAGGCGCCACTGTGACACACAGGTGGAATCCTGGGCCCATGGCTCACCAAGTCTTCCATCCCTCCGGGGTCGGCAAATTGGTACAAATTGGTACTAGACTTGTCTGTAAGGATAGCACTGATTCGATACATCAGTAACCTCCAACGATACTCAATGAAGTCGAATGCATAGCGCATCCCTCAGGGATTGATCAACGCCAAGAACTTTATCCTTTTTATTTTTACTGTACCAACGAGGCCTTTGCTTTGCCTTTCTCTTGGCTAGTTTTTTTTATACTAACGGTGTCACCAGTAATCATCTTTCAATAGGAGTGATCTGTGGAGCACAAATGGGCACTGAACCCAGTTAAACTGAAGCTACTGGTCTAGATCACAAGAACTCAACCGAAAAGAATAATCGAGAGTTTCAAGCTCACCTGGGGTTCCGAGTTTTGCAAACACTACAGCATCATTGCTTTTGTTTTTCACAACTCTGATGGTTTCAATTCGCGTAACACAGATCAACTCCAACTTCCGTGAAATTTGTAAGGATTGAGATTAACATAAAGCCAAGGTTTAAGCAAAAGTGACTGCAAAATAAAATCGTCCATAGAAGCTTCGTGACAAGTTTACAGGACTAAGGTCAATATTTAAAATTTCATATATTTACACAAAATTAAGGCCTAAACTGGACTCTCGAAAAAAGCACGTAAAAAATTTTAATCCGCATTCGGACCATTTTGCGAAATGACAAGACCTGTCATAATGATTCAAAACGCTCATATAATACGTATATCTCCTACGTGGATGACAGTTGATCTCCGTCCTAAGGACAAAATTATGTCATTTGATGTATTTAAGTAGATTATTAAACAAAATACCATAAACATAACTTTTATATCAACAGTATGTGGCCAAGTCGTGACCTATATCCGTGTCCGGTAATCCCGTTAATCACCGAATAAGTTGAACAGATATCACTAAAATCTTCACCCTTTCCTGTTGTGTGCAAAAACCACCCCTGCGGGGCTTGCTTGCTTATAGGACATAAAAAGCACCTCCATACACGTATCCTCACCCGTGAACACATGAATAATATCACAAGTACGTCGAACCGACACAGCAGAAAAAGCAGATGAGTATGGTAAATTTAACTGCGTCTCAGCGTAGGTGAATATTTGGTTCTTTACGGTTAAGGTGGTCAACTCCTTATCCGACACCTGGAGAGAGTGACATGGTAGGATACGCACCAAGTAACCTTGTGACTGACCATCACAAGATCGTTCAGATAAAGAAGATGTGTGATTAAACGATGGTGACACTGTTATGTAAAAACTGAATACTAGAGAACTGCCATTTCACTAAATACTTACGTGGGTACTTGGATGGCCCTTCTGCACTGGTTGTACGGACCCCAGAATAATTTCCATTCTTACGGAGTTTTGCTGGTTTTAGCTATCGTGGTTCCCTGGAGTCCGGAGGTCGGCTTAGCCAATGTCCGAGGTTGTTACCACCACTGGTAGTTGCAGCCCTTCCCGCTGTAGATCGCTGCCGAACACCCGGGAACACCTCCTAGCCACGATGAGGTGGTAAACCATTAGGAGGCATTTCACTAATCGGATATAATAAAGCAAAAGAAAAAACGTTTTTGAGATTACACCATGTCAGTCTCTCCAATAGCTCCTCTCAAAAGGTTATTCAGCTGAAAAGAAATTCTACGCTTCTATCTGCAGACCCAAAAAAGAATAAACTTATGACATAACAGAGCCCAGAGAGCCATCTTTGATTCTTTCTTGACGAAAATACTTGCCAATATCATACTAGAATTATGACGCCCTCCGTGTTCTACCACTGAACGGAGAGCACTACGCAGCTTCAGTACAAGATACGGTAAATGGAGTCCTTACTGGGGCTGTCCAACACACTTGATGATCAACAATATGTAGGTGATAGAGGTAATAGGTGATATTACGTAAATCACATCATTTTAAAGTTTAGATCTTGTGAAATTTCTTCGTTAGACGAACTAAAAGAACTAAAACTAATTCATACCGATATAATTCAGGGCTTCTTCGAGCCAGTAAAGTCTTCTAGCGAACGGATCAACAGCTAGCGCTGTAGGTCTCATCAGAGACGAGTCAAGTATGACGTCTACTCCTCTATCGTCCTCAATAATTGACATCCGATTCAAACTTGGTTTTTTTCCAATATCAGTCCAAAAAATGCTCCTGAAAACCAAAAACTTTGAAGTGAACAGGTGGCAAAATAGGAAGACAGAAATGGAGACTAGGAATCAATAAATCCTCGTCTAAACTGTATAATCGATTACCTATGAGAAGAATCGATTGCCAACGCATATGGAAGTACTCGAGGACCGCGACGATAAAACGTCTTAATGTATCGAATTTCACTGTCAGACATCTGGAATGCCCTAGATGAATTGAAATCTTCAAGTATTCAAACTTAAGAAAGCAAAAGTTCATTTAATAAACCTTTACCAACACAAAAAGCTGCAGAACCTACCAAGATGGAATTTCTCGACTTGGATGTCCAGTAAATATTCCCCGAAAACTCGTCCACTGCAAGACTATCAGGGCAATACAGGGACATTTCATGAAGCAGCTGCAAATTTCTGTTCTTGTCAGCAAAAAAAGGTATTTAGAAGTAAGCCCTTTTAGAGATCTACTTGACGAAAATGAGACCAATAAATGCCTCCAGGCACTATTAAGGTACTCATGCTCAGCAGGATCTGCAACATAAGAAGCAGTATACTTTTAGGGAACCAACAACTTAACGACAATGTCACCTTGTATCGACGTTTTTTAACACATCGAAGAGGTTTGTTATGAGATTACTTGGATATAACTCGTATGAAATGCAGAGATATTTGCAAAACTCCGAACCACAGGTGTATGCAATGGAGAACGAACACGCGCTGTTGTCCTTACCGGGGAGCAGCGCACTTCACCACTACACCATCCGGGTCGTTCGGTTTGCATGTCTCTCAGGTAGTTCTATCGATCTTTTTGCCATCAGCAATCACCCGTCAACGGGATAGAACGAGCTGAGAGACATGCAAAGCGAACGACCCGGATGGTGTAGTGGTGAAGTGCGCTGCTCCCCGGTAAGGACAACAGCGCGTGTTCGTTC